TGGGGGAGGGGGGAGGAGAGAAATGGGGGAGGGGGGGAGAGAAATGGGGGAGCGGAATGGGGGAGGGTAGGAGCTTAATTGGTGGTATTATTAGTTCTCATTTGCAGGTTTATAGGTTTGGGCGTGTCGGTTTTGGAGATGGGATTGTAAGAAGAGCTGTCCTAAAATTCTTGCCAATGCCGTGGACAAACAAACTTCTTTACAACGGTTATCACAGAAATCAAATCACAAGTTGGTCACAAGTCAAAGTGTAAGTTCATCATAAGTCAGGGTTACAAGTACCAGGTGATGTTTAACCCTAAAAGGGGGGGGGGGGGCGGAATCCACCCCCCCTCGACTTTTTCCGTGATAGCCTTTAAAAAATGTTTTTTCGCGACCCGAGCTTTTATGACTTTTTAGCCTCGAGCTTTGCGCATCTTTTGACACCAAAAACATAAAAATCGGACCAGGGGTTGTCGCGCAGCGACAACCTCTGGTGATCAGACTTGAGACTGGATGATTGTGATGGACTTCAGGTCAGTAAATACTTCACATGAAGCGAATTTGATGTCGTGAAATATTTAAGTTGACATCTTGAAAGCTGTTTAACTTTTGCGAATTCGCAGCCCGAATACTTGCCGTGACATCACAAGTTCACGTTCACCGTTTCGCGCCAAGTATGAACCAGACAAGTCTGTCTTTACCCTCTTTAAACCCTACTCATGTCAGGATCCAAATTTGTGGCAGCCGAGGAAAAAAAAAGAAGATTTATGGTTGTGTGTACATGGCACTCTTGCTACAAGTGTACAAACACATGATACATGTGTCATTACATGGAGTTTGGGTGCTGGGCCTAGATAACTTGTCTCTGGCAGTATGATGTATAATGTTTGGAGTATCCAAGGGGAGGATGGATGGGCCGTGTGATGTAGGGCCTACGCCAGATGGCTGGCTGGTGTGTGATGATAACGTCAACACGCCCCCCCCCCCTTCCCCCCAAAAGGCTGACAGAACACCCCTGACCCGTAAAAGTACAAGTTTGGATGGTTTAGGTTTAGATTACTAGCTATCAAAGAAATTGTGGGCACTTACTCACTGTACATTGGAGAAATGCATCTCATATTCCTTGACGACGGTTTGAAACATGTTGCAAGTTACAAGTCTTTTGATAATTGCAACATAAAATGTAGTTTTTGAGGCAATTCATGGAATATGCAATTAACTGAACGGAGACCATAATGTAAAGTTCCAAATAGATCATATGCATGTATCAAAGACTTTAAAAAAGTAAATATGATTTTCAATGAAAAATCCAGTTGAATGTTTGAATTAAATAACAGTCCACCGTGAGTTTGTTTTCCTTTCAAACAACTCTTTACTTCCGCCATTTTGTTGTGTGTTTTAAAAGTTGTTGACTGAAGATCCAAACAATTCTTTTCTGAATATCCTACAACTGTTTACTGTGCACACAAAAAATGCATGAAACAGACACTGTTGCAGGAATAACACCCATGACAAGTTTTATGAAATTGCATGCAGGTCTTCATATTTTCATATAATGCAACAAATCTGAAAACGATTGAGGTACCAATACTTAAATTTATTAAAATACATTTTTAATCTACAAACAGATAATTTTGGAATTAAAACCAAAATATGTACCATGATTAGTCATTAACGGGGAAAAATATCGTGGAGGAGGCCAAAGGAGGATCCATTTACACTTTACATGCTGGGAATTTGGGCCCGCTTGTTTATTTGCTTGTGTTTTGTTTTGGTTAACCTTTCCTTTGGGAACATTCTCTCATGAAAAGGTGCAGTCTATTTCTCCAATGTTTATTTCAACTGGAAAATGTGGAATGACAAATGTAACACAAATACACAGATTATGATAATGCAGTTTGTCAAAGTTGTGGGCTCAAGCAGTGGGGTGTTTTATTTTTATTTTTGTATCTGGGCCGTAAATCTGTCACTTGGCTGGTGTTTTTGGGAAGGGTAGAGAGAGAGACCTAACATCAACAACATGCAGGAATGTTCAGGTCAGGAGTATGTTGTCGTATTTTCAAAGTGGTGGGAGGATTTCGGTCAGTGTGGCCATTTTTCTTCAGAGAAATCATTCATTGTCATGCTTGAACAAAATCCAATTTTGGTAGCCTCCAGTCTCACGATAAAGTATTTTTTTGATAATTTTTCTTGAGAATTTCTATAAAACAGTTCAGTTGCTGTACATTTTGAGAAAGTTAGAAAGTTCTTTCAGAGTTTTATTGAATTCAGGATTAGTCTGGTTCCTGAAAAGTTAAGAAGTTTAAGAATCACCTCTAAAGAAAAAAAAGTCTTTAAATGTTTATAATTAATTTTAAAGTTGAAACCATAAACCCATGTTATGCCATGTAGCCAGGGATCATGACCAAAGTCACGATGCTAGCAAACCTGGGAAATAGCAAAACTTCATTTCAAAAGATATACATTTAGCTTTATGCAGAACTAGGGCTATTCTGGGAATCACGTAATTTTTTCTCCACTTGAATTTTGTTACTCTAGCTGAAGGTCGTAGTTCAAACATGTATGCTCATAATCAGATATTCACACATCCATTGTAATGACGGCACATTATTTGAAAAAGCAATTTTGCCACAAAAGTAGTAATTTGCACAAAATGTGCCTCATGTTTATCAATATTTGATTTAATACACATTTGGACTAGTGACTGCAGGGTATTTCTCAGCAAAAAGTATCCATCGGTAAAAAATAGTACAGTCAACCCTAACTAAAATGCCCTATTTCCAAGTTGTTTTAAAACAGAGCCCAGAAGTAACCAAAAAAAAGTACATCAGTCAAAGTTGGGGTCGGGGGTCAATTACAGAGTTTACTAAACATGGGCTACTATATCTGTCTGTTGTAATATAAATATGTCATGTGCTTGGCTATTACGCTCAAAAAATAAATGCTGCTGCTGAAAGATCCTGGAACACTAGGTGGTCCCTTTCCCCTCTAAAGTTTACGTTCTGTAAAAGTCTTTGTTTTTATTGCTGTTTTAAAGTGGGTGCATGTTATGAAACATAAATTGCAACTTGTATTAGGAACTGGACCAGACATATTTACAACCCCGTGACATTGACGAATTGCGCCCTCTTTTTAGCCACAACAATCCCCCCCACCCTTGAGGAGCAATTCCACTAAGATAAGAAAAGACACTGGCCAGTAATACGAGGGGGTGGGGCAGTGGTGTAACAGGGGTTTAGTTTGCAAGGGGCACTCAGGGGGGGGGGGGGGGGGGGGCGTCATTTTTCTAGAGACGGTCACTCAATGGATTTTGAAATAGCTAATTTGAAGAGGGTGGAGGGCACAGAGCAGGTGGGCCTGTCTCCTCCATGCGCCCCCTCCCCAGCTTTGCCACTAAAGAGGGTAGTTGGGGAGGTGTAAGCATCCTCTCCCACCCCACCCCACCCCCATAACCCCTCCCCCCCCCCCCCCCCCCCCCCCCCCCCCCCCCCACCCCCCAAAAAATGAAAAAGGTGCACATTTTGAAGTTATTTTTGTAGTATTATTAATTTGGCTAATCTGTTACTTTCACAACTGCCTATCAGAAGATGATTTTTATCTCTCCATGAAAATGAAAAATAACATGATTTAAGATTGAAAGGGACAAGTACCGGTATTCACAACACTTTGTTTCACGCTGTGTGGGGCCCAGTAGTTATTGGTCATCAACCAGTATTAGCATTGGTCATCAACCACTCATTTCATGTCATTTGGATGGTACATACTACATGACATGGGCGTTAAATGTGGCTATATATGAAGAGTTCATTTCCAAAAATTGTGCATCTCCATTTTAAACAAAAGTGAAAAAGATGCACGGTTATGACAAGTTATGGAGCATACACTCTAGAAGTTCATAACAGCTGTTGCTACATGTTTCCCTTTATTGTATTCTTCTATTGTGTTTAACTAAAAGCTGTCAAAAGTGAATTTTGGCAGCCAGGAGAGCTAGGGCAAGATTCTAAGAAGACAACCAAATGGCATTTATCGCGTTTTGGAAACAAAGTCTTCATATATATGTTCATATGCATACATACAAGTTTCAACAGTTCCCAAGAGTCAGCTTCCATCAAGTTTGAGAACTGTAATCCTAAGGTTGCAGGTTCGAATGCAGTCTGAGTCATTCTTTCCAGTCACTCATCAATAAATACAAAAGTATTTGCTGCACAGTTTCCTTTCAGATATGTGTTACGGGTCATGTAAAAATTTTACTATTGCGAGTAAACCATTCACTACAAAGTGGCCATCTGTGCTTGCAAGCCAGTGGTGGGTGGTTCGACTCCCTTCCACCACCATCATATTGACTTTACAATGGAAATGCAGGCCCATGCTTCAGACGCACAGTTACACAGACAAATTGTGATCACTGTTTTCACCAGCTGGAAACAAAACAAATTAAGTCATTAATAAAATGTTTAATTGCTATTATACACTCAACCCAAAAAGAAAGTCCCCCTTAATACTTTTTTGTCTAACTCAAAAACTACTGGGCACTTCTTGCTCAAATTACGACTGATCAGTGCAGAAATTCCTTAGCAATCCGACCATACTCTTTGTTTGGCCCAAAACAGTGATAATATGTACAAAATTATGCAATTTACGACAAATGGTACCGAAAAAAAAGTTGCACTTTTGTACACTTGCAAGGTGAGTGTGAACTGCAACATGCACGTATACAAAAGTGCAACTGTTTTCAGTATTATTTGTCATAAATTGCATAAAATCATCCACATTATTACTGTTTTGGGCCAAATAAAGAGTATTTGAGAATTTCTGTACTGATTAGTCATTACTTAAACGAGAGGTGCTCAGTAGTTTTGAGTTAGACAAAACAGTATTGGAAGGGGGGACTTTCTTTTTTGGTTGCGCGTACAACAGATCTTCAGGCAATTCCTAATTGTTTATATCTTGTGCTAATTATGCTTGTGAAGTTGTATTAGTAATTTGAGTTCTTTTTTTCCTTCAAATCTAAATAGACTGCATTACACTGGGGAGCAAAGCATGGCAAGAAGGAAATGATACGTTTAGTGGCTGACAGGGGAGCAGATGTCAACTCCAGATCGGTAAGTCATTATCTATTGAATTATTCATGATTACCTATTGAATATTCATGACAATCTGTTGAATTATTCATAAATGAATCGGTGATCTTTGCAATCGGTGATCTTTGCAATCAGTGATTTTCAAGGATGGTTGCTTCCTTGAAACTGCAAATTCTCGGAGACCAATCATCACGTGAACAGTTCGCTAGTAATGGGTAACTTGCGTGGAACTGATGACACAGGGACTAGCCTAACTTTAAACCTAGCTTTTTGGACTGTGGTTTGAAATGCCTAACTGTGATGATTTGCAAAGTTAGGCATTATTGAAACCTCTTAAAACAGGAATGGTATTTGTAGTGCCTTTAACATGCATTACTATGTCCCACTTCTGTCCAGCAATTTTGTTTGAGCTTTTTTTTTTTATTTTCGGGCTGGAATGTTTATAACTTAATTGGTTATGTACATTGTTTTGATGTGATACAAATTTGAATTTCCCCCTGTTTTTCCCTTATTCCACGGCGTCTTAAATGATCTCCACATTTCAGCAAGGGGTAAGTCTGCCACTTAATTTTGAAATTGCTTTCTGATCTCATCCTGTTGGAGTTTAACAAGAAGTTAGATAACAAAGTATGCCTGTGTTATTGATAACCTGTATGTGCTCATTATAACCTTAGCCTCAGACCAATGGAGCTTCAGAGTTGCATATTAGTACGCATATTCAAACTCAACACAACTTATGGAGAAAAGGAATGTACTTACGTCTTTAGTACAAAAAAGTGTTCCTACATGTTCTTATTCATCACTCCTAACGTGTTACGTACTGTTATTATTAAATGGAACAAATAAATTGACTGGAGTGGGGTTTGAACCCGCTACCTTCGGAAGGTTGCGCATTCAAACCCAGCACCAGTCAATTTCTTTGTTCAACTTTGTAATGATCATTTATGCACCTTATGCACCTTACAATACATGTATGTCATACACTGTTTTAGTTTTGTAGAGAGCCAGAAAATTATTACTTAAAAAAAAATCTGCTGTCTTCCAACTTATATTAATTATTAGAATATTCAGAACATCAGAAAGAAATCTGAAAACTTGGTCTTAAAATTGTTCACCTCTCCTTACATTAATGCACCAAAAGTCTCTAACGACACCTGCTGTTGGAATGATTTGTGATAATTTCAGTAATTTTAACTTTCTTGGATGATTGATTTCAGGGCTATACTCCTCTCCACATAGCTGCCATGCACAACAAGGAGTCAGTCATGCAGTTTCTCATTCAGGACTACCGTAAGTTATTTCTTTCCATTCAAATTTGATTTACAAAAGCGGAACCAAAACCCAAAGAAATACATTTTATATTTAAAAAAAGAATGAAGCACCAAAAATAATTGTGACTGATAAGCCAATTTTATAATTGCTTTGAGATGAAAAAATTACTTCAATTGCTCAATCCATTCAAATTATATCACCATTTGAATGAAATGACCCTAAAATCTGTTTCATCCACAAAAATGCGATTTCATGAATTGTTGTTAAAATTGTCTTCAAACATCACCAGCGATAATACCTCAGTTTAAAAGTTAAAATATTCAACAAAGTCCTTTTGAAGGCCCGTCTTTAAAAAAAAACAAATGGATTTTATAAATCCTATTGTTAGCCAAAGCAGGGTTGTTAATAAAGATATTGTGTACTACAGTTGTTGAAACAAGTATTCCGTGTCATTTTCTGTTTTGCTTCAAACAGTCAGAATACCCTATAAATTGCTTTTGTGGACGAAACTGATTGTAGGGTTACTTCGTTTAAATAGTGATAACATTTTAATATGCAGAGCAATTGAAATAATTTTCTCACTTCAAGGTAGTTTAATAAATGGGCTTCAAAGTCATGATTATTTTTGGTGCTACATATTTTTATATGAAATGTATTTCCTTGGATTTGGATTCCGCTTTTTTTGACTCGCCCTATATAACTCTGTATTTTCTGGTCCTAGATGACCAGCCATGTAACCTCTTTATACCTATGGCACTTTGCTGGTTGTACCAGGAAATGTTTATAAACATGTGTCCTTGGTGTGTGTAACTGAGCATAAAAAAAGGTCAATAGCTGGCTTGCTCTCGTAAATGAATGCAGTATTTGAAAATAGCCAGTTTTCCAACGATCATTTGGCCTGCTGATTGTTGATTGGCCGGTTGATTTTAAAAAATGACAACATGCTAGGCATTACGATTTTAAAGGATTCTTGATACTATTATTTACTTACTATTCTATTCAGTAGTCATTTGACAATTTCATTTTTGGAGTTTTGCAACTGTTGTACACCACTTTTAATAAACCTTACTCTGTCTGACTCTAAACAACAGATGCCGACGTCAACGTACGGGACTTTAGCGGCCGCAAAGCTCGCCACTACCTCAAGACGGGCGCCTCTTCCTACATGCAACGTAAGACAGATCCTTTCTCTTGTTACCCTTCCCCCCCTACCACAGACCCTCCCTTCTCCGCCCCCCACCACAACGGCCTAGCTCACACCCGCGGCGCTTTACATAACCCTGCCACCAACACTACTCATGCTAGTACTACTCCTTCTTCTGAAGACACCCCGGGCAACTCCTTCACCCGGGCCATGGAGCGACTGTCCTTCCGGCGACCTGCCGCCATCCGGAGGTCAAAGAGCGAGAGGCACCATACGCCTTTGGCGAAGGGCGCCCACAGTGGCAGCGCTAAGCGCTCGCCGAGTCTCAAACGACAGAACAGCAAACAACCTACTGAGATATACCTAGTCTGAATTTGGGAAATCATAATTTCAGAGGCAGCTTCTAACATTTGCAACTGTTACTTGATAAATCACATCAGTACCTGCCCTTAAAGGTCATTCCTAGTTTGTATTCCTGCGGAACTTCGACATCTTATAGTTGCATTCCACATATTTCACGAAAGCAGCATTTCTTAAATTTTAATTTTCTAATTTGTTTGAAAAAACAATGTATATACATTTAGCATTTTTCGTCAATTTTTAAAAGTTATACAGGGTCTTTCCATTTTAATATCATGCCTTGATTTTAAATTTTGAGATTTATTTTTTAAGTAGTGTGCTTAGAAAAAAAGTGATAATTACGCAGGGTCTTTCAAAATTAACAGCATTCCTCCTGATGTTTTGATATCTTGTAGTGAATGTAAGTTGAAGTATGTGTACTGCTAGACGAGTGTCTTGTTAGTGTGTAAATTATAGTGATCGCAGGGGTGAGTTTTGTCAGGATTTGTCCTGATTTCAGGATTTAAAAAAAAATCCTTTTTGAAACCTGGAATTCCTGAGGTTTCACGCATATTTTTACCTATAAAAGTTTATATAGAACAAAAGGTAATTTGGTATTTTAAGCAAATACTTTAGGCAAATACAAACATTTGCTATAGTATAGACCCTACGTTGCTCTGGGCCCTCATTGACCCTCAAATCGTCTTCCGATTATTGCATGAATTGTTCATACTCCCGTAATCTCACCTCTGTGATTGGTTTAGAACTGAAGATATTAGACGAATGCAGCCTTAGAATGTAGATGCATGCCAGATAGCATTTGCTTGTGATGATTCCAAACAACTGTCATTCTTCCTGTATTTCTGCATAATTCCATTTCCCAATTTAACACCAAAGAACATTGCGCACAGTACTCAGAAATTCTATTAATTGTGTGATGTTTAATTACTGACAAATGTAGGCAAATTAAAATTACAAATAAGTATCAGTACACGGCCTAACAATTGATAAATTTGAGAACCTTTAAAGGGAATATACATCATTTGCTTTTGCTGTAATTTTCAGAAATGGATGGAATTGGGGGGTTGGAAATATAAAGCAAATATAGTTACACTGACTTTTTGGAGGTTTTGGGTTCGAAAATGCTATAAAAACCAAGAAAAACGATCATTTTCCTGTAGTCTGGTCCCCTGACTCCATATAAGAAGAAACAGAGCAGTTTACATACATTGGGGAATTGTAAGGTCAGGGAACCAGTCTAGCTGGCTCGTACCCGTTCATAGGTTTGTAATCGATTGCAAACAAGTGCAATGGTCAATTGGGGCCAGTATTTGAAAAAAAAGCCAGTTGTTTCCAACGCTGATCGGCCGATCAGCGTTGGAAATTGATACAAAAATACCACTTTTCTTGAAAATGACAGTATACCAGGTGCCATAATTTTACAGGATGCTTTAGACTGTCATTTACCAACATCCTATTAAGGTATTTCGCAAAAACTTGGTAGTTTTATTTTTCGATGTTTGCAAATGTTGTATATTCCCTTTAACAGAGAATATACTGTTTAATCAAAATTAGACAATAATGAACCTAGATATTTCCCTTATTTAGGTTTTTGGGGGTTTTTTGGGGGGTTTTTTTTTGTGGGGGGGGGGGGGGGTTGATGAGAGAATATTTTGTAAAACTTCCATTCATTGGTGCTGGTGTACTTATACAGGACTTTCCTCAAATTAACAAAACTTCATTAACAGTTTGTATTTATTGGCAATTTCATGGTATTGGGAGTGCTTGAATGCTAACTTTATCATTTTTTTTTAACATTGAGCATTTTAAAATAAAATTCTATGTATTCCTGTATCCTACTAATTGTATGTATTTGTACGAGTCAAAGTTTGTTGTAAAGTGTGGTTTTTGTGATTTTTACATGGAAACTTGCCTTCATACTTCTTTGTTTTGGCTGGTACTCATCAGTACATGAAGCATGACAAAAGTAAAAAGGGAGCCAGTGATTGTACATGCTAATTCGTTTTTGCACGCATGTTAGAGAACTGAACTAAGTCATCAATAAGTAAAAATTAAAACAAACAAAAAATGGAAATCTGCTTTTGTTGTCATTAGTAGAGAAAACATTAAAAATCATATTTTTGCTGCTTAAGAAAGAGACATCATTTACAATTACATTAGTGAGCAATACAAATTACACAGCCAGCTTCATTTTTTTTTTAAATTGAAATGCAAGTTTGCTGTTTTCATTGAATCAAATCTTGAAATTTGCTTAGACCTACATTTCTGCGCTTCATTAAGAAATCCCTGAAATTAGCCAATGCTTTGTTCTGGGACTACAGGGTTATAGTTTAGTTTGAAATAAAACAGCTGCATTAAGGAATATTGACACCAATTGATTGCTCTATTTTCTTTTATTAAAAACTAGCATGGTTTATGCATTTCTTCCTTTACTGTTAGAGGTAGTACAGTGTAAGCTTATCAACGGTTTATTTATTTACAATTGCTAGAATTTATGTTTACTGACTAGTTAATACGTGTTCAGAAAAGATTTTAGACTTATGTCTCTTTGCATGATAGTTCAAAAAGATCTACCACAACTAATTATGAAAGCAAACATAGACTTGTGATCAAAAGTTAGACAACACTAGACTCACTTTGACTTACCACTACTTTAAAAAAAAAAATTGTTGACCAGCAAATAAAACATAGTTTATTTACAGTTCAGTTGCTGTAAGTTTTCCCTTTTTTTGAAAACACTCTTCTTTTTTAATCACAGTAGCTGGAAATCAAACACTGAAGAAAAGCAAATTACAATTGTCTATGGTTCATTCTATAGATTTAATAAGATAACTTAAAAGAAAAGAGATGTATGTTAAACCTCCAAAACATTTCTATTGTCCATAAACTATCTTGTATTGTGAATATATTTATTGCATGGAATGTTATTGTATGAGATGTAGTTTTTGTAGTCGTAAAGTCGTCAGGTGTTCTGCATTGTGCTCATCATAGAGTCGTCATCTCCCTCCATCCATAGATCAAGAGTTAGGGTTCTCAACAAAGGCAAGACTGAATAATCTTATCTGCACCAGTCCAAAAACAAAAAAACAGGTTATTTCTCATGCTTCTAAGATGGCACGAGGCATACAAGTGCCACACTATAAGAAAGGGCAGATTCTCTTCTTTCAGTACGTTGTTTACGTAAATTCATCTCCTCTCTTTTTAAAAAGTTTGTTTGTCCCTAGAGAATCACACCTAATTCAATGAAAATATGACTAGGAAAGCCGGTCCCAGAGTACACACAATTCTATTCAATCGATTCAACGTGGATATTGACTGGAAATCTTTTCATGCATGTGGTCTACACAATGGACCAGATTTAGCCCTTAATTGGCATTACAGGGTAATCCTATACAATAGCACTGCCCAGCTCACAAGGGACTGTCAGTCAGTCAGTCAGTAAGATAAGTACAAGGAGGACACTAGGCCGGCCCTCTGGGACCAGCAAAGTCAACTTTTCCTTTCCTGAATCTTGGTTCACTGCTTAAGGCAATACCTCTGTACATATATGTATTGACTTAAACACCTTAGCCCAATACTCCATTGAAAAATCCTGGACTTGCGCCTCATCGCAACCACCCTTTGGAAAATGCCTGGATCTTCCCCTGCATGTTGCCAGACACCATGTTGAGAACCCTGACTACTCAAACCATGCTTGCCATATTGCATGAGTGTGTGATTTCCATGAGTGTGTTTTACCCCACTGCTGCCTGCTTTGCACACTATAAGTTTTGAACATGATAAAGATTATCAAATACAGAGAAAAAGTTTGTCTGCATCTTGGATTGTTACTGATGCCTGCTGTTAGCTGATTGGCTGATTCCAATTTGTGACTCCGATCCTGCTCCTACTCGTTGCAGAATGCTGAGAACGAGCTTCGCTCTGACAAAACGTCTGTCCGATCGACGATCGTCTGCCATGTTTGTGAGCATCGCAAGGCAACTCAAAGGAAGTACGCCATGAAACATTGCTGCCAACTTCACGATACTCTAATTCAGTCACAAACTGAAGTGAAGGAAAAACATTTGAGCACAGTTGCTTTACTTGCAACATTGAATAAGAATCCGGTCGCGTGTGCATTGTGATAGAAACTCCACAAAACAATATCTGCTCGCTGATGATTGTATAAAATTGTTTATACCTCAAGTCCATGTACAAGTTGAAATGGCTATGTTAGATTTATCATTTGGAAACCATTTTTTGAAAGTCCGGTTGTAGGAAAAGAAGTTTGTTTAAAAAGAGGTAATTAATGTACATGTACATGTATTTTTTACTGACTAGAGTTCAAAGGTTCTTTATGGGAAAATCTTGCTTACCCCTTAACGGCCCCTTGATGGCCTGAAAAAAAGGATAGATACCAGTAGTGCGTCTGAAATTTTAGTATGGTATAATGTACATGTACCACTCTTCATATGAAACATACGAAACAAAGGTTAAGACTTTAGTTGACTCTGATGGTTATAGTTGAGTATAGTGTGAGCAGAACATTAGTCATTGTAATGATAAACAAAGAGGTTGACTGGAGCAGGGTTTGAACCTACTACCTCCGCATTATCGTACCGGTGTTCTACCTAGAACATTAGTAGTTCGTAATGAAATACTTATCTTTTGCTGTCCCTACTTATACAG